AGTGAAAATGTGTGTATGTGGCTGTGAGTGGAGGGCGTGGGGAGACCCCCTTCCCAGGACACACCTCCCCCTCCCCCCACATCTGCTGTCCTGCACGCCCTCTTTCCCTCCCCCGCCTTTTCCGGCTGCTCCCCTGCCTCACTGCTAGGTAAGCTGACCTGGGGGCCTGGGGAGCGTGACCTCCAAGCCTCAGGGCCAAACGGTTTTTTCCTGACTTCCCCGTTAGCGGAGACCCGGCCCCGCGGGCGACACCAGACCGCTGCCCCTAACAGAACCGCGGCGAAGGCTGTGTTCGCTCCGGGACGGGTCTCTGTGCTGTCCAGGCTGGATGCGGAGGCTGTTCACGGGCAGGGGCCGCTGCCGGTCCCCACGCCAATCTGAACCCGCTCCGTCCCCGACCCGGGCGGCCTCACCCCTCCCCAGGCCACGCGGCGGCCTCCGGCTCCCGGGAGCTTAGCCAGAGCGACGGCGAACTTGCGCGCTTCGCCCGCACACCCGACCAGCGCCGCGCCCGCCGGCCCAGAGCTGCGGGGCTCCCCGGTCCTCCCGCCTCAGCCTCCCGAGGCGCGGGGGCTCCGGGCGCGGCCACCACGCCAGGACGGCCAAGTTGGAAGCACCAGCTACGCACCGGCAGGGTCGTCAAACGTACACGCTGCTCCCCTTTCCGTCCTCAAAACCTCCCCGGAGCCTCTGAGCCACGGGGAAGTGAGGCCAAGAAGGGTGCGGGGGCAGTAACCTGCCCAAAGTCCCACCGTCACGGGCCGCGAGAGCCGAGATCGCGACCCCTGGGCTCCAAGTCCCGCGGACCGCGACGACTGCCGCCGCAACAGCGCCTCCCCGCGGGGACAGGCGCTCTTCGCGCTCCCTCTGCGCCCGGCGCAAATCTGGAGGCTCCAAGTCCCAGATGGAACCACAAAAACCAACTGGCCCAAGTAAGGTCGCCTCGGGGCGATCCAGAAAACCCGAACCGGGAAGTAGGAGTCCGCGGTGCCTCAGTGTTCGGGACCAACCCAAACCATGTAAAAGCCCGCTCTCGCTGTCTGTCAGCCTGACCGATTCCCTCATCTCACAAGCTCTCTGCTCCTGCGGGGCAGGAGGCACAGCTTCTTCGAGGCTCTGCGGAAGCAGCTTCTGCACGGGGCTGTGGATCTCCCGGGACAGGAGGGCCGGAAGCCGCTCGGACCCCAACAGCGCTAGGACCTGCTCCAGGGTGCGCATCTCAGGCCGAAGCCACCAAGCGGTGGCAAAGCTCCAGGAGCCGCCTGACGGTTCCCCGGGGCCCAGGAGCAGAAGCCACAAACGCAGGAGGGAAGCCACTAGGCTGCGCCCTGGGGGTAGGGCTTGGGGGTCAGCTCCTGGTGGCAGGCGCATTCACTCCTGGGGTGTCTCCATCAGGAGCCTTTCGCTCCTGGGAGCCTGGGCCGGACGCCAGGGTCAGGTTCCTGGACCTCCTGACCCCAAAACCAGCGGCGCCCCGGGCTACAATAGCCAGCAGGATCGGCATGCCCCGGGATCCCCGTCCCCACGGAGCTGTCTCCAGGGCCATGGCCTCTGTGGGCTGGGGGCGGCTGGGCGCCTTCCCCTCGACCCGCTTCGGCCCGGGGTTGGAGGGCAGAATCGCAGGCGGCTCTCTCCTGGGTCCGGGGCCCACCAGGGAAGTCCCAGCACTCAAGTCTGGTGTCCCAACAGCAGCGGCACCAGCTGGGGACCAGTGTGAGGACGACGTCTCCCCAGTGACAGCATCATCTCTGGCCTCGCGCCAACTCAACCAGGAGGGAAAATGTGACCCCCAGCGGTGGAGCCAACTGGAAGACAAGAGGCGGGCCGCGGGGGTGACCCAAGCACCCAGGAGCCCTCTAGTGGTGGCCGAGGTTAGGAGAGGAGTGGTCGGGGTAGCAAGGTCGAAGCTGGGGTCTTCAAGAGAAGAAACTAAAAAGCTCTAGGCCAAGGTGACCAGCAAGAACAGACCAAAGGCATAAGCCCAGGAAAGCTTATTAATATGCGAGTTCTCGGACCACCTGGTTGGCTCAGTTGGTTTAACGTCTGCCTTAGGCTGGGGTCTTGGTCCTGAGTTCCCTAAATTGAGTCCTGGGTGGGGCTCTCTGCTCGGTAGGGAGTCTGCTCCTCCCTTTTTCTCTGCCCATTCCATGTGTTCACTCACTGTTTTATCTAATAAATAAATACAAAATAAAATAAAACGTGAATTTTCAGGGGAGGGAGGGTTGGGTGGTTCAGGTCATAATCCCAGGGTCCTGGGATGGAACCCCTGGGGCTCCCGGATCAGTGGGGAATCTACTGCTCTCTCTCCTTCTGCCACTCCCCGCCCTGCCTGTGCTCATGTTTCCCTCTCTTATAAGTAAAATCTTTAAAAAAATGCGAATTCTTCAGCTCATGGGAGATGCGGTGTGTCAGAGATGTCGTGAAGGGGCCCAGAAATCTGAAGTTTAACTACGGCCTCTCCCAAGAAATTCTTCTGCACTAAGAGGCTTGAGAATCAATGACCCAAGAGTAAAAGAGTTAAAGGAGTTCCCTACCGCTGGGGTTACTCCAGGGCGGCTGTAAGAGAAGCCCTTGCTAGTATCAGGAACTAGGGACGTCCCACCCATGCCCCTGGGCTCTGGAAGCGCTTAAGACCGGAAACGCTAACGCTTCCAAAGCGGCAGGAGGCCCCTAGGAGGCCAAGGAAGTGGCGGCTCCTCCCACGTCAGCAGGCTCCGGGGCCCAGTCAGCAAGGAGCGTGTCTCGGCGCCTGTCGGGAAATGTAGTCTGCAGGGCGGGCGCGCGCCTGCGTCTTGCGCAGCTGCCCCAGGGAGCCCGGGAGAGCCGTGGGCGCCGAGGCGGTGAGTCCCCGAGCGGCCAGAGGGCGTGGCCGTCCCTGGGGCGCTGGCGCGGGCGCGGGCGGCGGGGCTCACATCCCGCTAGGGCTAAGCCAAACGGCGGCCGCCAACCCTGACCCGTCGGCGGCCGCGTGGACGAGCGACGGGCGGCGGGCCCCTATCCGGCCCGGGTTCCCGCTGCCGCTCCCTGCGACCCGGCCGGGCCTTCCCGGGGTTGTCCCGGGCCAGATCGCCCATTGGGGCGCCGGGACGTCCTGTGGGGAGCGCGCGGGGGCCGTGCCCGCGCCCCGGGCAGCCGATTTGTAATCGGCTTTTAGACGTTCCCGCGACGTGTCTCTCCTCGCTTTTCCGCGAGTGCCCGCTTTGCACACACCCTCTTTATCCGTGGGCCGTGTGAGCGCGGGCTCGCTCGGGCCGGTGTGGGGAGAAGCCGTGAGTCCTGAGGTGCAGCGAGGTTTCCCTGCGGGAGGGCGGGTGGAGGGACGGCGGGACAGTGAGGGCCCCGCTGGACGCGGTGGAGCGTTCGGGCCCCTCTGGGGAGGGCGGCGGGCTGCGAGGCTGAGCAGGGTCAGGGCGGGTCCACAGCCCAAGCCGGCCGGGGTCCTGGATGCCTTCCAGAGAAGAGGGTTCGGTGCCCAGGCGGGGACGTGGAGGCTTTCTAGGAATGAGTCGTGGGGAGCAGTAACCTTGCTGGAGCGCTTCCTCTGGGCCGGGCTAGGCCAGGCGTGGCTCCTGTTCGCTTCCACGCAGCTGCAACCACCGCATTTTCTGAATTCGATGCTATGATTATTTTCATGTTAAGGAGAAACTGGGTGTTAGGGTCACAAAGCGAGCAGGTTATCACATGTGGATGCGTCTGCTGCTAAAAGTTCAGGTTACCGTCAAGATATAGTATAGGGTCACGGTGTACGTTTGGGATGACTAGGTAGGGAGATTATGAGTGTTTTTTGCCCTGTGCCACTCCAGGGAAGAGGACGGTTATGTGAGGCATCTTGGCAAATATAGAGAGAGAATCCATAGCATAGGGTGGGTACTGGTATTGAGACCTGGTCTGTACCAGTCAGTGACCTCAGACATTGCACTATGAACATCTGGATGATTTTTAGATATGAATGTTGCAGAGATCTGTTCATTCTAACCTTCTCACCATTTCCCTCTGGCATTGACCATGAGACCTGAGACAGCTTATTCAGTGCTCCAGAGCCTCCAGCCTCAGTCAGCTCCTATGTACCCAGGACATCATGCTAGTCCCCACCTGCTCGCTCTGGGTGAACACCACGTGACCTGCCACATGTGGGAGACTTGGAACAGCACTGGGACATAGTGTCATGAACGTGATCAGTGTCCTTGGTTACCCGTGCGGACCAGATGGCTGGTCACCTGCCCTGTGGCAATGTGTTGTTGTCATGAGAAAGCCCTCTGACTTGCCATCACAGGACGAGGGTCAGGCCACTGTTGGTGGAAGTACATGTAGGTTGAGAGGAGAAGAATGAAGGGTTGTGGATTGGCAGCCTGTGGACGCGAGGCTCTAGGCAAGATGCCGATGGCTGAAGGTGACCATGGGTCACTGCAAGGCACATGGACTTTATGGTCATTCATCAGTGCTCCCCTGTTTCTTTTGTGGCCTGTATATATTCAGAGGCACAAGACAGCTTGTATGAGACTGGGAGTTAGTTTACAGGCCAGCACATCTATGGTGGCTCATTTATGGGAAGAGGTCTTAGCCTTGGATCAAAGGAATTCTAGAGGCGAGCTCTCCGGTAGAACCTTCTACAATGTTATCTTTGGAGCACTTGAAATGTGGCTAGTTTGAATGAGAAACTGAATGTGCGGTTTCAATGGATTTAAACTGAAACAGTCCCATGGAATCTGTGGCTACCATATCGGGTAGTGGAGCTCTAGAGGGTCCGTGTATGGTCGAGAACATTTTGTGAATTTTGGAAAATGGATGCAGAATTCGATGTGTCTGTGTGTTTTTCTAGGAAGTGATTCCATGGTCTTCATTAGATTCTCAAAATCACCAACAAAGATTAAGGTCTGCTGCTCTAGGGCATGGTGGAAAGTGAGCAAGTTAAGGGAGCCGAGTATGGCCATTGGTAACCACTGCTGTTCCCCCTTTCTCGTTTTGTCCTGTCCTCAGCTGTGGGTGGCTCCCCCTTGACGCCTAAAGAGAGGAGCACATTGGAATCTGAGACTTCAGGCCCCAGAGAAAGTGTACACGGCCAGAACGGGGCGATGGCGGTGGCCCTGGGTTGTGCCATTCAGGCCTCACTGAATCAGGGCTCCGTGTTTCAAGACTATGATGCCGACTGTGAAGTCTTCCGTCAGCGCTTCAGGCAGTTCCAGTACAAAGAAGCAGCTGGGCCTCATGAAGCTTTCAACAAACTCTGGGAGCTTTGCTGTCAGTGGCTGAAGCCAAAGATGCGTTCTAAGGAGCAGATTCTGGAGCTGCTGGTGTTGGAGCAGTTCCTAACCATCCTGCCCACGGAGATAGAGACCTGGGTGAGGGAGCATTGCCCAGAGAATAGAGAAAGAGTTGTGTCACTGATAGAAGACTTACAGAGAGAACTGGAGATCCCAGAGCAGCAGGTGAGAAAGGAGTTTGGGATCTTGGTAATGAGACAAAAAGAAGTAGCAGAGACATCTGATACTCGAGCAGACATTTTCTGTTGTGAGCTCCGTGCTTTCCCTGAAGTTATTTTCATTTTTCCCTTCTGCTGGAATTAGCAGATATGGCTCAGCAATTCTCAGCTGTTAAACCCCACTCCTGTTCTGGAACAAATACTTGGTACTGCACCTTCTACTATCCTGAAGTGAAATTTATGTAGAATGTAACCTGCTTCCATACACAAAATCAAAAACATTGCTATGAGAAGTGCTCTGTGGTCTGTGGGCCAAATGCAGCTCATGGCCTCTTTTCTGCAGCCCGTGAGCTAATAATGATTATTGCCTTTTTTATTTTTTATTTTTTATTTTATTTATTTAATTTTTATTTTTAAAAGATTTTTAAAATTTATTTGTCAGAGAGAGAGAGAGAGAGAGAGAGACCAAGTAGGGGGAGCAGCAGGCAGAGGGAGAAGCAGGCTCCCTGCTGAGCAAGGAGACTGATGTGGGACTTGATCCCAGGACTCTGGGATTATGACCTGAGCTGAAGACAGCTGCTTAACTGATTGAGCCGCCCAGGCACCCCTGGTTATTACCTTTTTAGAGGGTTGTTAATACAAGAACTGGACACAGTAGACCAACATGCCCCACAAAGTGTAAATTATTTATTATCTGACTCTTTTTTTTAATATTTTATTTATTTATTTGACAGACAGAACTCACAAGTGGGCAGAGAGGCAGGCGGGGTTGGGGGGAGCAGACTCCCTGCTGAGCAGAGAGCCTGATGCAGGGCTCGATCCCAGGACCCTGGGATCATGACCTGAGCCAAAGGCAGAGGCTTAACCCACTGAGCCACCCAGGTGCCCCTTAACTGACTCTTTGTAAGAAGATGTTGCCGATCTGAGTGAAGTTGAGCCCAGAAAAGACATAAAGGAATGTAGTTTGTCACCATCAAACGAGTGTGCAAACACACACGTTGGGGCTTGACCGCACCTGAAAACCTCATGAGGTTGTCACATGCTCACGTCTATGCAGAGACTCACTGCGAAGGCGACAGCCACTGGCTCGGCTGGTCTCTGACTTTCCCAAGTGGCCACACGTGTTAGTCCGGCTGAACAATAAGTGATAGAGTGGTTGCCTGATGTCCAAAGTAGGGCATTCCCAGAAGATTCAAGTCATGCTAAATCATGCAGAAATATTTCGTGACTGTATGAGTACTGGGGTGATATTGACAGGCTCTTTGTCCCTAGATGAAAGTTTGTGGGGGCACTCCAGAGTTGGTGGGGGCCCGGAGCAGTTCCACACTGGGAATGAGACTCCCATCTCCGTCTGCTAAGTTCGGACAGTCACCTGCCATGGTACCGCATCAGCCTTTGGTGGCGGTGCCATTGCCCCCCACTCAGAGTCCCCTGGCACGGGGCAGAACTTTTGGTGGAAGGGAGAAAGGGCTTCCTGTTGGGCAGTTGTTGCTCTGCAGGTAGCCTGCCAGAGCCAGAGTCTTCCAAAGTTTCCTGTTGCCCACCCCCATCCCCCAGGAGAGAATGAATTCATGGTGTTCCCTTCCTTTCTCTGTCTGCTGGCTTTGGCTTGCTCTCTAGGATTTTATCCACCTGTGGCCTCATTGTGCACTGCCCAGTGCGGTAGCCACCAGCCAAGAGTGGCTCTTGAGCACCTAGCGATGTGGCTAGTCCACACTGAGATGCACTGTGAGTATAAAACGCTCCTCCCATTCAGAAGACCGAGTCAGAAAGAGAAAGTAGGTGAAATGTCTGATGAATGCTTGTCCATATTGATTACATTCCGAAAGTACGATATTTTAGCCATATTGGGTGAAATCGTGCATGTCATTATGATCGACTTCACCAGTGTCTTTTTTTATGTGGGTCCTGGAAAATTAAAATCACATGGGTGGCTCCTGTTGTTGTCCCTGGGCAGTGCCGGTGTCGACTGGAGAGTGATGGGTTGTGCCCTTTCCCCCAGATCGATAGGCAGGAAATGCTGTTGGAGGAGCTGGCACCAGTGGGCCCGGCACATGTACCACCAAACATCCACCTGGAGTCGCCCCCGCTGCAGGTGATGGGACCTGCCCCGGACGCCCCTGGTGCCGAGGCCTGGATGCCCCAGGCAGGGCTGCCAGAGCTGGGCTACGGAGCTGCTGAGGACTGCCAGCCCTTCCTGGACCCTGGTAAGGCAAGGGGTTCACTTCCTTTCTGTGGTTCGTGTTTTGAGAGCTTGAGAGCTCCCCAGGTTTGGGGTTGGGTTAGAAACACCAATTACTGGATGGAAGCAGACCACTGTGATCAGGAGTACGAGGAGGGGTGCCCTCTGGGAATGGCTGGGAACAGAGTGGGGGACATGAGGTTCAGAACCCCTTCAGCTGATGACCCTGCTCAAGAAGCCTATTTTTCTCCTTTCAGTGTTTTTTTTTATTATTGTAAAATACACACATCCCAAGATTTGGTGTCTTAATCATTTTGACGTGTATAGTTCAGTGGTATAGAATACATTCGTAATGTGGAACCATCCCTACCATCCATGTTCATAACGACTTTCATTCTGTAAAACTGAAACCCCATACTCATTTAAACAAAAACTCCACATCTCCCCAGCCCCTGGAGACTACGATTCAACTTTCCATCTCTCTGAATTGGACTCCGCTATGTACCTCGTATAAACGGGATCATATAGTATCTGTCATTTTGAGACTGGTTTATTTCACTTAGCAGAATGTCCTTCACGTTTATGCAGGTTGTAGTGTGGGTCAGTGTTTCTATCCAAGTAAAGGCTAAAAAACATTTTGTTGATCTGTTTTCCATAGGCATATACTTGGGTTGCTTCTGTGTTTTAGCTGTCCTGAGTAATGCCTGTATGAACATGGGTGTGCACATACCTTTTTGAGGCCCCACTTTTACTTCTTTTGGGCACACAACCAGAGGTAGAATTGCTGAATCACACGGGAATTCTATTTTTTTTAAAGATTTTATTTATTTATTTGACAGACAGAGATCACAAGTAGGCAGAGAGGCAGGCAGAGAGAGAGGAGGGGAAGGAGGCTCCCCGCTGAGCAGAGAGCCCAATGCGGGACTCGATCCCAGGATCCTGAGATCATGACCTAAGCAGAAGGCAGAGGCTTAACCCACTGAGCCACCCAGGTGCCCCGGGAATTCTATTTTTAATTGAGGAGCAGCCTCCACAGCGGCTGCACCAGTTTCCATGCCCCCCGACAGTGCATAAACTTTCCGGTTTCTCCACATGCTCACCAACACTTGTTGCTTTCCGATTTGTGATAGCAGCATTCCTCATTGGTGTGGGGTGGCCTCTCAGGGTAGTTTGGATTTGCATTTCTCAAGTGATTAATGGTATTGAGCATGTGCTGATTGACCGTTCGGATATCTTCTTTGGAGAAAGTCAGTTCACGTCCTTCGAGCATTGCAAAATCCACTTGCTTTTTGTCATTGAAATTCAGAGTTCTCTATATATTCCGGATATTAATTCCATATCAGATAGGATTGGCGAATATTTTTCCCATTTGTCGGTTGCCTTTTTACTCTGTTGAAGCTTTTGATGGATAAATTTTTAAATTTTTCATGAAGTACTCTGTGCCCACTTTTTTCTTTTGTTGCCTATACTTTAGGTGTCATATCCAAGAAATCATTGCTGAATTCAATGTCTTCAAGCTTTTCCTCTAGGTTTTCTTCCAAGTTTTATAATTTTAGGTCCTAATTTTAGGAATTTGATCCGTTTTGTGTTAACTTTTGCATGTGCTCTTACGTAAGGTTCTAACTTCATTTATTTGCACATGCATAATCCAGTTTTCCCAGCACCGTATGTTGAAAGATTATTGTTTCGCTATTGAATGATCTTGGTATTGTTGTTAACAATCACTTCCACATATATATGAAGGTTTATTTATGTGCTGTCTATTGTATTCCGTTGGTCTATATGCCTGTCTTTATGCCAGTAGCAACCTATTTTGATTACTGTCACTTTTTAATAAGTTTTGAAATCAGGAAGTGTGAGACCTCTAGCTTTGTTCTTCCTTTCCAAATTTTTTTTTGTTTATTTGGGCATCCCTGGAAATTCCATATAAATTTTAGGTATGGATTTTTCTATTAAAATTTTTTTTTAGAGAGAGTGAACAGTGGTTGGGGGGAGAAGGAGAGAGAGAATTTTAATAGGCTCCATGCCCAGGGCGGAGCCTGATGTGGGGCTTGATCTCATGATCTTGAGCTCATGACCTGAGCTGAAATCAAGAGCTGAATGGTTAACTGACTGAGCCATCCAGGCGCTCCTGGGCTTTTCTTTTTTTCTTTATTATGTATTTTTTATTTAAAGATTTTCATTTATTTGACAACAGAGATCTCAAGTAGGCAGAGAGGCAGGCAGAGAGAGAGGAGGAAGCAGGCTCCCAACTGAGCAGAGAGCCCAATGCGGGGCTCGATCCCAGGACCCTGGGATCATGACCTGAGCCAAAGGCAGAGGCTTTAACCCACTGAGCCACCCAGGCACCCCAGGTTTTTCTATTAATGCGAAAAAGAGTATCCTTGGGGTTTTGATAGATTGTATCGAATCTGTACATCACTTTTGGGAGTATTGACATCTTAACAATATCAAGTTATCTAGTCCATGAACATGGGATGTGTTTTCCTTTGCATCTTCTTTATTTTCTTTTATCAGTGTTTTGTAATTTTGATCGTACAAGTCTTTCACATACTTGTTTAAGTTAACTCCTAAGTATTTTATTCTTTTCAATGCTGTTATACGTGAAATTGTTTTCATAGTTTCCAGAATTTTTCATTGTTCATTGTTAGTATATAGAAATGGAACTGATTTTTGCAAGTTCATTTTGTATCCTGGTATTTTGCTGAATTCATTTATGAATTTTAACAGTTTTTTAGTGGAAACTTCAAGGGTTCTGCAAATTAGATCATATCATCTTCCAATGGAGACCATTTTACTTCGTCCTTTCCAATTTGAATGCCTTTTTCTTTTTATCGCCTAATTGCTCTAGCTAGAACTTCTAGTACTGTGTTAAATAGAGTGGCCAAAGCAGGCATCCTTGCCTTCTACCTGACTTTAGAGGGAAAGCTTTCAGTCTTTCACCATTGAGTATAAAGTTCCCTGTTGGATTTTCCTGTATGGCTTTTATTATGTGGAGGTAGTTTCCTTCTGTTCCTATTTTGTTGAGTGTTTCTCTTTTTTATCATGAAAGGATGTTGAATTCTGTTCAGTTGCTTTCCCCACATCCTTTGAGATGATAATGTGTTTTTTTCCCTTCATTTTGTTAATGTGGCATATTGTATTGACCGATTTTCATATGTTGAAACATTCTTGCATTCCAGGAACAAATATCACATGGTTGTGATGTATCATCCTTTAAATATGCTGCTGAATTCAATTTGCTAAAATTTTTTCAGGTTTTTTTTTTTAATCAGTGTTCATAAGGGATATTGGTGTGTCATTTTCTAATAGTGTCTTTTCTGGCTTTGGTATTGATAATGTTGGCCTCAGAGAATTAAGTTAGGAAGTGTCTCCTTCCCTTCATTTTTTTTTTTTAATTTGAAAAGCTTTTTTTTAAGAAGATTGTATTTATTTATTTATTTGAGAGAGAGAGCACAAACAGGGAGAGGGCAGAAGGAGAAGGAGAAACAGACTCCCCACTGAATAGAGGGCCCAGAGCAGGGCTTGATCCCAGGACTCCAGGATCAAGACCCGAGCAGAAGGCAGATACTTAACTGATTGAGCCACTCAGACGTGCCTTTTTGGAAGTTTAAGAACAATTTGTATTAGTTCTTCTCTACATGTTTGGTGGAAGCCACCAGTGAAGCTATCAGGTCTAGGGCTTTTCTTTGTCAGGAGACTTTTGATTGTTGCTTCAATCTCTTTACTGGTTATAGGTCTGTTCAGATTTTTCTCATTCTTTATGATTTAGTCTTGGTGGGTTTTGTGTTTCTGGTAATGTATCCATTTCATCTAGGTTATCCAATTTGTTTGTGTACAATTGTTCATAGTACTCTTATAATTCTCTTTATTTATGTAGAATCATTGGTAATATCGCCGCTTTAATTTTTAAAATTCTTTAAATTCAGTGTAGTTAACATATACTATATTAGTTCCATAGGTGGAATTTAGTGATTCGTCACTTACAAATAACCTAGTGCTCATCACATCACATGCCCTCCTTAATGCCCAATTACCCCATCCCGCCTCTCCCCTCCCCCTGTTTGTTTCCTAAAGTTCAGTGTCTCTTATGGTTTGCCTCCCTCTCTGTTTCATCTTATTTTATTTTCCCTTTTTAATTTTAATGATTTGAGCCTTTCTTTTTTTCTTAGTTCTTCTAGCTAAAGGTTTCTCAAGTTCATTGATCTTTACAAAAAAACAATTTTTGGTTTCATTGATTTTCCCTATTGTCTTTCTAGTCTTTATTTTGTTTATTTCTGCCTATTCTTTATTGCTTCCTTCCTTCTACTAGCTTTGGGTTTAGTTTTTTTTTTTTTTCTTATTAGTTCCTTAAGTTATAAAGTTATGTTATTGTTTTGGGATCTTTTTTGTTTACTAATGTAAGTACTTATAACTATAAATTCCCGGTACTTTGCATTTTCATTTTCATTTATCTCTAAGTATTTTCCTTTTTTTTAAGATTTTATTTATTTATTTGACAGAGAGATCACAAGTAGGCAGAGGGGTAGGCAGAGAGAGAGAGGAGGAAACGGCTCCCTGCTGAGCAGAGAGCCCGATGTGGGGCTCGATCGCAGGACCCTGAGATCATGACCTGAGCTGAAGGCAGAGGCTTAACCCACTAAGCCCCTCAGATGCCCCTATTTCTATGTATTTTCTAATTTTCTTTGTGATTTCTTCTTGCATACATTGGTTGTGTAAGAGGTGTTATTTAATTTTCACAAATTAGTCAATTTTCCAGTTTTCCCTTTGTTTTATTTCTCATTTCATCCCATTGTGGTTAGAGTATGTACTTTGAATGATATCCATTTTTTAAATATATTGGAACTAACTTGTGGCCTAACATACAGTCTGTATCCCAGAAATTGTCTCAGGTGCACTTGAAAAGAATCTGACATTTTTATTCTAGCCATCTTAGTAGGTGTTAAGTGCTATCTAATTGAGGTTTGATTTGCATTTCTTCAAAGACTAATGGTGTTGAGCATCTTTTCATGGACTTAGCAGTCA